TTTGGTGTGGCCGCAGTCCCTTTAACCAGCCTTCTATTGAGTTACATGATATCAGGCATAAACGACGCAGTTTGTTAGTTTCATTTGAGCTCTTAGCAATGAATGTAATACCTTAAAAAATTTCGTTGTTATTCCAAGCAAGATTCAATGCCAGCCACAAAGAGCACTAGCGGGGAAATTGACATTTCGAAAGTCTGTGCAGTTGCAAAAAGAAAAAAAAAAATTTACACTGTCTCCCGTTAAAGGGATCTATGTGTGGATGCGAAGCAGCGGGGAGATGAGAAACAGCGCCCACAGAAACTCTACCACGTCACCCTAAAGGGACTGTCTACCATCCTTCAAGCTTTTATGTATTGTGTCACAATAATAAGCATGCTATTTGAAGTGTCTAACCTTGCAGCGGTTTCTCTGGAAAGTGTACAAATATTTACAACATAGTATTCTGATTTCTGTTCGTTCTCCTCCGATCGGTGGGATGAATGCCCAAAAGCACTGGGCTGTGGAGGGGATGGCAATTGTGCTGCTGATGAAAGCCGAAAACTGAAACCTCGTGTGGTATTTTCAGGCTTCATCATGTTCTGTTTATTAATAAAACTAATACCTTAGTGGTCGCTTAAGGCATGCACACACATTTTGTTGTTGTTATGAGCGGCAGCAGACACTGTGCTCGTGTTTCTCTGTTGTTTGAAGGCAGGCATGCAGGTAATACAGGCGAGGAAACACACCGCCGACAGCGCCACCAGACGCCTTTTTGAATGCATGAGAAAAAAAAAACAAGAATGAGTCTCTGGCACAGCAAAAGCAACCTAAAGCACGTAAAATAGTTTCAAGTCATACATGTTTGTTTTTAAGCAAAATAAGTCTACCTGCGAAGATCTCTTGTCCTACCGATAGATTGACCACATCGCTGTTGGATGACGCTAGTGGTTATTTTTATTTTCAAAGCTCCTAAAGCCATGGGTCTTTCCCTCCTAGCTTGTGGTACGCGACCGCCTAATTCAATGACTCACTCGGCATGTTTGGTTGGACAGACAATGGTTTACAAATAAAACTTTCCAAAGGTTCGCCCCACTCATCATTATCATTCACTCTGTGAATATGCTTTCATTTTTTTGTCAACTTTCAACATCTTCTTAAAATTATAATTCCTTTTTTATGGGATGCACAAAGCATCCTCATTGCCTCGGATGTGATGAACGATATTTTCATTTGCGCCCTAATCCAAAAAAAATTTTGCAAGAGGTAGACAGCCCCTACAGGTGCACAAACATTCAGAACCTCTAGCTAACGCTGCCCGGTAGGCATTGCTATGAGCTCTGCCGGTGACGACGACTATAGCACTGCTAGACAGCTGGTCCCTCTATGCACAGGCCAGGGACATTGAACAAGATCCTGTGCTCACCAGAGCAGACGTGCTCTGTCTCACGGAGACGTAGAACGCCGAAAGACCAACAATCAATGGCTATAAACTGATCGTGGGTACTGTAGAAGTGTTTCTTTTTTGCCTTTGCCACCATCTCTGGAAAAAAGGGGGGAAGCGTAGGACAATAGAGAAGGGGAGGGGATGCTCAGGGAGTAGGTGAGTGGACACAGCCCGGAGCAAAAGCTGCTTCACATCTAAAAAACTTGATGTATGCGAGGTATTTGATATCGATCCTTATGGTGACTTGGAAGACTATATGCCATTTCAAGATTTCACGAGATTGAAGTAACTAGAAGAATAAAATGGGGTGGAGCACATTCGGCAGGCACTCTCAAATTATGACAGGTAGATTGCCACTATCCCTCAAGAGGAAGGTATATAACAGCTGTATCTTGCCGGTACTTAGCTACGGAGCAGAAACCTGGAGACTTACAAAGAGGGTTCAGCTTAAATTGAGGACGACGCAGCGAGCAATGGAAAGAAAAATGGTAGGTGTGACCTTAAGAGACAAGAAGAGAGCAGAGTGGATTAGGGAACAAACGGGGGTTAAGAATATCATAGCTGATATCAAAAAGAAGAAATGGACATGGGCCGGGCATGTAGCGCATGGACAGGATAACCGCTGGTCGTTAAGGGTAACTAACTGGATTCCTAGAGAAGGCAAGCGGGTTAGGGGGAGACAGAAGGTTAGGTGGGCAGATGAAATAAAGAAGTTTGCGGGTATAAATTGGCAGCAGCAAGCACAGGACCGGGTTAACTGGCTGAACATGAGAGAGGCCTTTGTCCTGCAGTGGACGTAGTCAGGCTGATAATGATGATGATGATGACGCCATTTCATACATCAGGTGCAACGCTGTCGAAGCTGTGCAGGTGCAATGCTGTTGAAGCTATTGCGTGTGTCTCGTGCTTACCTTTCATCGTTGTAAACACTTGTGCAAGTCCCGCCGCGGTGGTCTAGTGGCAAAAGTACTCGTCTGCTGACCCGCAGGTCACGGAATGGAATCCCGGTTGCGGTGGCTGCATTTTCGATGGAAGCGGAAATGTTGTAGGCCCGTGTGCTCAGATTTGGGTGCACGTTAAAAAACCCCAGGTGGTCGAAATTTCTGGAGTCCTTCACAACGGCGTCTCTCATAATCATAAGGTGGTTTTGGGACGTCAAACCCCACATATGCTATAAATGAAACATCAAAAAGCGAGAAGTAAAAGATGCCAAGCGGTTCAGAAGAACTTATAGGCAAAGCTATGATGTGGTTTATTTATATAAGGCCCAAAACATCCTAAATATATTACTCAGCTAGGCTAAAAAGGAAAAGAAACCATCTTATGGGTGCTAAAGTCACTGGACTATTCCTTGGTGCGAATGCATCTGCTGTAAGAAGCCTCGCTAGCCACCAGACCGTTGCACCTGGTACATGAAATCAAGTATAGAGACCCCCCTGGAACACCTCTTGCATTCCAATGTGTGTATGAGAATGGCATGATGGTTTGGCTACCTTGCGATCAAGGCTTGGTGCATATCCCCTGTATGGCCGCTCAAGGAAGTGAAGCACTTTTCGCATAGTCTATTGCGTTGAGAGTACAACACATAGAAGAATATAGGAGCTGTCTGCAATGCCTGCCGAAAATAGCGCACACGCCAGCGACCGCGCCCTTGACGTCAAAGTTCATTTACAGTTGCTGCTCTAGGGCAATGCTCCCGCCCCATCACCTTGCTTCTTGAAGATGATCCTTGAAGATGGGTGGCAGGTTCCTTTCTGCTTGAGTAGCAATCAATAGCAGGCGGGGTCTTGTTACTGCATGTGCTCTTTGTGCAATGGAAATAAGTCGGCTCTTTATCTCTGGTTCAGCGGCGTTCAGCGGCGTTCAGCGGCACCAGCTCACGTGCTCTTACCCGCGTGTAAACGATACGATGTGTGGGGAAAGATTCTCGATTTGCACATTACACAAAACATGATGGCAAAAGCCAGGCGCGAATGTCTATATAATTTTTGTTGCAATGATAACAAAATGTGTTTCGCCTTCAAGTTGTGTTAGGCATAGGCATAAGGCTACCTGTGAGGTTTTTTTTTTGTTTCACTTCTTCCTAGAAAGCGCTAGGAGGTTTTTGGTGTACAGACAAAGTGCTCTAGCCATATAAAACTTCCCTGTGAAAGGAAAATGAAGTTTGTTAAGTCACGTGGTTCCACAGAGAAGCTTTAGAGAGATGAAAGGGAGTGCCTGAGGAGGGTGGCTTTGTGAGGCTAGCTAAGTGACATGGGGCTACACCCAGCATTGATAGTGATAGTGAAAAAGAACCTCACTTTCTCCTTGGAGTCATTTTGGAAAAATGCATTTGGCATAGTGACAGTCTATAGTACTCTACATCACAGCATCTGTCTAACATTTCTGCTGATAACCACATAGGTGAACTGAGAATGGTATTTCATAATATAATTTTATTAAACAGTATTTGGCTTATTTGCATAAAAAATAATCACTGAACAAGTTGTTCCAGAACAGCATGAAGCCATCTTTCGCATCAAGTGAAATAGAAAGTGCGCCTAAGATGATTGGCTCTATGAGATTCGCTATGATTTGAAATATTTCTGGCTCCTCACAAGAGGCCTGAAATAAATATTCATGTTCGTGAATGTCAAAACAACTTACTTCTCTAATGTACTCCAGGATGTGAAGTTATCTCCTTTGAAGTGCACCCAGATGAAAGATTACTTTATCTAAAGTGCTTTAAAATGGAAAATTTTGCTGCTCCAAAGTGCTCCAAAATGGCAAATTTCGCATATCAAAGTGCCCTAAAATGAAAAGTTTGCTGCTGTAAAAGTTACTCCAAATCAGAAGACATTGGTATCATCACTAAAAAGAGTAATTGATTACAAGATTTTAATGCTCATGTCTGAATGATGCCAAACTCAAAAAAGTGTAATTTATTAAAAGATTTTAATGCTCAAGTCCGATTGATGCCAAAGATAAAAGTATGTTTGTGGAAAATGTATAAAATACATTTGTGAAAAATGTGTAAACTATAGCAGTAATATATAAACTGTTCTTTCAATAATGCCCGTTAATGTTCTTGTGCTAATTCATATCACTAAAACCATTGCTGCTATTGCATCCTTTATAAATGTATTCTTTCTTTGCTCTGCATCAATTGACTCATATTTTTATTATGTTTTTGTTTCACTAGGAAGTAGTTGTTTGGTGAGCAGTGTTGTATGAATACCTCCATGCAAATAGAATTAAATTACAGTAAGTAGTTTAATGGTCTCGTTTTTATTTGTGCACATTCAGACACTCTTGCCTTTTTTTCATATAGCCTTGGAATGACACGTAAATCATATTGTAGTTTTTGTCACATGGTGTTCATATGTGTTGACCATAGAATTCATCTGCAGCAAGATGGGAAGATTCGTAACACTTGCTGTCGCACTGCCCTGTTGCCTTAACAGTAGCTTCGGTTTGTGCGAGACAAGATGAGCATTTTTTTTTACCTGCGCAGCAACTCTTACATGTTGCCTGCTGCTGTGGTCTAGTTATCACGCATAATTTACATATACTTTGTGTGCTGCCGATTGCTTTGCAGGCCCCTTGTCCTGTGCGTCCTTGGAACATTCTTCTCCGCTGGCATCTGTACGAGGCCGATTTCATTCCTGCCAGCAGTGCAGTTATGTGACTCTGGACAAGTCAACTATGATCAGACATGTTCGGAAACACTTGGGCGAGCTCCCCTTCCAGTGCCACTTGTGTCCATCTGCATTCACTTGCAAATCCAGGCTGGTGACGCATGTGCGCAACCACACAAGACAGCGCCCCTTCACCTGTGGACAGTGCAGTGCGTCCTTTTTTACTAAGAGTCAGCTCATTGTGCACATGCGCAGTCACACGGGAGAGCGGCCATTCTCCTGTGTCCACTGCGGTGCGTGCTTTGCTCACACAAGCAACCTCGTAAATCACATTCGTCGCAGACACACAGGCGAGCGTCCATTTTCCTGCGTCCACTGCAATGCTTCTTTTGTACTGAAAAAGACCCTCGTTCGTCACATCCGCAAGCACACTGGAGAGCGTCCATTTTCTTGTGCCCAGTGCTGTGCATCTTTTGCAGGCAAAAACAACCTCATGCGACACATTCACTCACACACAGGAAAGCGTCCCTACTCCTGTGTTCATTGCAATGCATCGTTCACGCAGAAGAGCCACTTTAATGAGCACTTGCGCACTCACACAGGAGAGCGTCCGTTTTCCTGCACCCACTGCGATGCCTCCTTTGCACGTAAATGCAATCTTGTAAAGCACATGCGCCTACACACTGGAGAGCAGCTTTTTTCCTGTATTCAGTGCAATGCTTCCTTTTCTATGAGAGTCAGTCTAAATCGGCACGTGCGTGCTCATGCAGGAGGGCGTCCTTACTGTTGTGCCCACTGCAACGCATCTTTTTCTTTGAAAAGCAGTCTAAATCGGCACATGAACACTCACACTGGAGAGCGTCCTTACTCCTGTGTCCACTGCAATGCATCCTTTATGCAGAAAAGCCATTTTATCGAGCACATGCGCACTCGCATAGGAGAATGTTCTTTCTCCTGTACCCACTGCGATGCGATCTTTGTACGGAAAGGCAATCTCGTGAGGCACATCCGCATGCACACTCGATAACTGTCCTTCTCTTGTCTCTATTGCAATGAGTACATAGTGAAAAAAGGCTCATGTGACCCACCCGCCTGCACACAGGAGATGGTCCATTTTTCTGTGTCCATTGCAATCCATCCTTTTGTGTGAAATGCGAACTCATTAACCACATGCGATAAATCAGGAGAGCGGCCCTTTTCGTCAGAAGGCCACCTGATCGAGCACATTCACACTCACAGTGAACAGCAGCCCTTGTGTTTGTCATAATAAACCCTTCGGTTGAAGAAACGGCAATGTGACATATACGCACGCACACAGAAAAATGTCTCTTAAATGCAAAGCGTCTCTTTCTCGGGCCTATATCCGACCCCAAAGGTGGCATCCAAACTCACACTATGCATGCGCAACTCTTGTTTGTCTCTTCCTCTCGAACAGGTGCGCGTTAGTCTCCACTTCTTTTCTACCACCTGTTCGCGCTCACTCCCCCCTCTCTCTCCTCTAGGCATCCCTCCCAGTTGTGTTAGCACCCCAATTGTGCATGCGCATTCCCTCTCCTCTCCTAGGTTTTTTCTTTTTCACCTCACAACGACGAGACATGGAGCGCTTGCTAACCTACGCTCGCTCCCCCCTCTTCTCTAGGCATTCCTGCCCACGGTGATTACACTGTAATTGTGCATGCACGTTCTTTACCTCTCTCATCTGCGCGCACGCACGTTCTTTACCACTAGCGAGGTGCAACTTTCTTTTTCTCCCGCGGAGTGTCCTGGATTTTTGCCACCGACTGCACCACTCGCTCAGGCTCCGGAAACTCTCAAGTTGCAGCGATGGCCGCAGAGAGCGAAAAAATTGAGCGCAGCGAGTTCTATTGAAATGCGCATATAGTGAAGCTACTAACTCCTCTTTTAGCAGTCGAATAAGTTAGTGTGCACTTTTCTTGCTGGGGGCGCTACTCCAATAATTTTTTTACTTGAAGAAGTTGTTTTGCACAAGCTAATCAATCACTCAAACATGTCATTTTGGCTCTGACAAATTGGGAAGTCATTATACGTAAACGTGATTTGTGGAGCTGCTTTCAACTGAAGAATAAACATTTTTAAAGGGGAATTCTGGCGTTTTTTTTTAATATTCACCGATTTCATTGAAACTTTAAACATTGTTCGCATTGGTACCGTGGTGATATGTGCCAAATTATACAACCATAAGTCATTTATATTTTAGCAAACAAATTTTAAAATTGGTAGCTACTTCTGGAATCAGACTTGTAAACGCGAGCCACCCTGTGTATATGACGTCCTGGCCTACTCTTTCTTCGAAAACCCCGCTTTTCCCAGGAGACGGATGCAGTGCTTGCTTTCTTCTACAAGGTGACAACGCACGCACAGTTCAGTTTTGTCGACTCCGTACAGTGTGTTAATAGTTGTTGATGTCGAGTCTTACAACATTGACTACGAAGAAATCAATTCAGGGCATGTCAGATGCTTCAGGTGCTGGAGGGTCGAAATCAAAAAACGATGCTTCCACACTCAGATAGTAGCTGCAATCATCGCTGAACTTGTCACTAATAAGTTCAGACGAGCGCCACAGCTTGATTCCCTGTCGGATCACATCACCAACTTGCTTTTCACGCATCAGAAGATCGAGGCTCGTGAGCTATGTTTACACCTTGGCCAGCCATGGCGGGGTGTAGCAGATCTTGTGACGACATCGGCGACGGATTCTTGTGACGTCATTGAATACCCACCATGGACGACAGAGCCACTCCCTGTTTTGGTTTCTGTTTCGACTCGTCGTTTTTTGCTTGATTAAAATTATTGATGAGTCCCAGGGCAAAATGAACCACCCTAGCTTTTTTGGGAGTGTCAATACTATTATAATACAGCATTATCTAAGTATGGTTGAAAATGCACCAGGGTTCCCCTTTCATCTACAGTGACGGTTAACTGTGTGATGGGTGCCAAAAAGAAAAACAAAGAGCAATGCTCGCCTGGTGAAGTGGTTGTGGGCGTGACCACTATATCCTCGCCCAGTTATTGCAAACGTGCGTGAAACTCTCACTCACTGGTATTGTTACTAGTAAGGTGCCCTCTGAAGGCACCCCTCTTTCCTGGACTAGGACTCGAGTGTGCACACCACGCTCCTTCACACCTCTGCATGAGGGTGCTACATCCATAGAAGGTAAGGTTGATTGCTTGCTTGAATCAAACTGTATTTCTTTTCCCAAAGCAGATATAGAATAATGTAATCGCTTCTGCTTTCAGAAATCTAAGACTTCTCTCCCGAGCTGTCAACATCAAGGCATGAGACTAGTAAGTTGACGCTTTCCCAGTATAGAGCACGATGCATTTTCTCCTGCTCAAACAAATGTGTAGTGACATACACTCCTCTTTTCCAGTGCCCCTCAAAATGTCTCCATCAACATCACTAGGGAACACATCCCTGGGGCCACAGGAGCCATTGCCAATGGCACAAACTACTTGGAGTAGGTTTTCTTCCTCTTTTTAAAGCAAAATTTTCAGTGTAGCCAATTACATAGTATAATGCCAATTAGCAAGCCTTATTTCTGCAAAACAAGATGGAAATATTTTCATATCTTCCTCTCTTCTATATATATATATATATATACACGCGCACACACACAGTAGGTTCATAACACAGTTATTTACTTGAAATGAATTCTTTCACTGAAGAAATGCACTTCTGTTTCATTTAATATTTCTACTATCTGCCACAGTCCATAAGGTGTGTAGCTACTTTTGGCCAATCATATACAGTGGCTGTGCATTAAATTCATTTTTACTTTGGCTGTTTTTGTTATCATGACTTGCCTAAACACCATATTAGCCTTTAGCACAGCCTGGCCTGGCATTTAGTATTTAGATATAGTTTACTAATGATGGAATAAAATACAAATGTGTTTTCATTTCTATCATACTTAGCAAACCATTTAACCAAAGCAGAAGCCTCTTGCATAGCCTGAACATAAGTGGGGTGGCTTTTTGATTTTCCAGGAACCCCATGTCCAAGGACCAGGGCCTCGAAGGTGCTCTCTCTACATTCTAAGAAGAGGCTTCAGCGCTTCTGTGACAAAAACTCCCACCTCCATCAAATAGATGCAAGACTGCAAAAGCCCAAGAGACCAACTCGCCCACAGCTGCTTTTTGAAGCAGGCAGGTACCTAAGCAAGGACTTTTTGGAAAGTCTAAGAGTGCAAGTGCATCGGCAACGACTGAAGAAACATGGGAGAAGATGGCTGGTGCAATTTGGACAGTTTGCCCTCATTCTCTACTTTACAAGCCCTAAGGCATATAAATATCTATCACAGGTGCTAAGCCTTCCCACAGTAAAGCCTTTAAGGACGTGGCTCTCTGCCATAAATATAAAGACAGGGAATCTACCTCAGGTTTTTGAGTTAATCAAAGGAAAGGCGAAAAATTGAAAGATTAAAAATTGAGCTTGCTGCCTGATTTTTGACGAAATGTTATTAAAATGAATCTTGCAGTATGACCGCTAGAAAGACTTCATTCATGGATATCTTCATAATGCCAGAGAAAGAAGAAATGGCATAGCAAACACTGCTGTGCTTGTGTTAGTTTTGTAGGATAGCAAAGAAATGGATAGAGCCGGTCGCATTCTTGACAGAAGATGGGACAGTTCGCTCGGGACCTTTGTTACTGTTATTGAAAAAGCTAATCACTGAGCTGAAGGCAAGTGGCCTGTTCGTCAAAGCACTGTTTTGTGACCAGGGTAGCGGAAATTGGGTTATTGTGACGACCCTCGGTGTTAGTCCTGAAAGGACTTTCTTTCACCACTGATAAAAAGAAGATTTACTTCATTTTCAACGTCCCTCACCTTTTGGAATGTGTGAGGAACAATTACAGAAAGCGTGATATTTCTATTGGTGATATAGTTGCTTCTTGAGGGCACATTAAAACTTTGTATGAGTCAACACATCGCCTAAAGCTTAAATACCTACCCAAGCTCACTGACAAGCACATCTATGAAAGTGAATTTGGTAACATGAAAGTAAAGTGGGCTTCTCAGGTGCCCAGAAACAGTGTTTATCCAGGGATTGAAGCATTCATAGCATTTAATGTGCTTCCGCCAGAGGCTACAAGCACGGCTAAGTTTGTTGAGTAAATGGATGAGTTGCTTGATTCAATAAACAGTTCTTGTGTAAATATAATGGAGAGAAAAATGAAGTGTGCAGTTAGTTCCTCAACAGGCCACATTGAATTATTGCATTGCATGGATTAAGTCTTGGAAATTTGAAGCGCCTAGGCAATCAAGAACTATTCAGGGATGGCAGGTGACTATAAAAGCAATTTGTATGTTGTGGGAAGATCTACAGGAATGCTATAACTTCAAATTTTTGCTCACTTGCTGTCTGAATCAGGATCCCTTAGAGAACACGAGTGTTGAAGATTGGGCGAGTTGGTTCGTCGTACTTGAACTGGTATAGCGCATTATGGGGAAGAAGAAACGGCCGAGCAGACTGACATAAGAGGACAGAGCGCTCTGTCCTCTTGTGTCAGTCTGCTCGGCCGTTTCTTATTTCCCATAATGCGCTATACCAGTTCAAGTACCCTTAGAGAACTTGTTTGGGATCATTTGGCAGCAACATGGCTGTAATGAGACTCCAAACACTTTTCAGTTCACTGCCGGCCTCAGGCATACTATTATCGGGAAGCTATTGAAGCTGTCTGATGGCAGCAACTGTGAGGCAGATAAGGCTGTTCGGCTAACTGAGCTGAAGAACTTAAGACTTGATCAAGGAAGTCCTGCAGTGTCAGATGCCTCTAGCTCAAGAGTTTCAGACTTTGAAGGCACCAAAGATATGTACTGGAATCAAACATAGTTCGTTATGTATCAGGATGCCTAGTGCAAGCATTTTTTAAAAAGGCACCAAAATCGCACTGCAGGAACCTTGTAAAAGACAAAAGTTAAGATCTGTCTTCACCAAGCCATGATGTTCAAAGCAGTGGAGGTGCCGGGCAAGGCTTTAGAAGATTTAACAGTGCCCACAGAAGCAGCTTTCAATTTTGTCAGAAAACTAGAGAAGGCACTTTCTGTTCGGATAGGTACTGTGGGGTCAGAAATATTACTTTGTATGATAATGGGGGTGACTGATGGCCAATTTTGCAGCGCTCACAGTTGCAAATCCTTTTTGCAATACTTTCTGCAATCCTGCAATCCTGCAATCCTTCGCAAATCCTTTTTGTACATATTAGGATTCTCTGGTATTTTAAATTTAACAACAGAGAATTAGGCCAAGCAAAGGCTTAAAAAGAAAGCTGCAAAATTTGATGTAGAAACTCAAGGCCTTTTTGTGTACTCGCATACCATTGTTTTATGGTTGTTTTGAGCATAAAGAATAAGAAATCTAAGGAACTTGTGATTGTGGAGTGTGTTTTATGCATCTGTGTTGTCAATGAAGTAGGTACTTGATAAGCAGGGACGCACAGATCGACTAGACCATACCTCTTAGTTTTTGGGCACTTTCCGACTGTCAAGTGGGCTCTTTACCAAGAATGATGGGAATCATCCCAGCCCATTTGTTCACAATCAGCTGCAAGCTGCAACAATTTTTGTGCTCTGAGTCGATAATTGCCTCTTATGAACACAACTTAGCCGATCGCTTGTGAAGAAACTCAAGTTAAAATAATCTTCCATGCATTCCAGGGTGAATTTATTAGGTTCGCTCAACCAGTTTAATAGTTTTTGCATTCATAGAACCATACCTTAATCATTTTTAGAGAATCGTGCATGAAAACTAGTGTGCCCATAATGTCAAGAGTACTTTACATCAATTTGGCCCGCGTGGGGTTTTTTAATACACACATTAATCTAAGTACACCCCACCAGAACGCCCGTCACGGTGGCCGTATTGGTTTTGTCGCCTACTTTTCTCGAGACTGCAAAGCAAGTGCAACCGTCGTGGGCACCCACAACCTCTGGCACCTTACCTTACCTACTGCGGAAAGTAGAAGCATGTTCAGCAAGAAGCCAGTACTTTGTTAGGAAAATCTTAATTTGGGCGGTTTCATAACGTTAAGCCAAGACGTAAACAGATCGCAATCTAATCGTATTCTTTCCGCGAAGCTACC